TCTACTTCAACAACTAAATCCTCTCTTTCTCTTCTCTCTCTATTACGTCGTCTAATGGTTCTCTCAATCTCAGGATCAACAGGAACCACTGGTTGATGTCTCGCTCTTCGCATAAACTGCAAAAACAGAAAGGAAGGAAAGTGAGATCACAAATAAACTGAGAATAAAACAAAAATAAAACAAAAAATAAAAACTCCAATCTAGCTAACTATAGAAAAACTCAATGTTAACTTAAAACTATTCCCCGGCAACGGCGCCAAAAACTTGATGCGTGTTTCCTACAACATGCAATATGTAGCAAGTATACTAATCGCTCAAGTAATAAAGTGATGAGTGAGTATTGTTTCCACGAGGACTACTAGCTAAGCACTTATAAGTTTCCTAATGTTCTCAAGTTGGAGCAACCGAATTCTTTGGATAATTGGGAGCAATTTTTAATTAAAGTAAACAAAAACTGAAACTACCAACTTAAGGTTTTAACTACGAATGCAAAATGAAAACACGGATAAATTCAATTCAATTAAAATGGGAAGGGTTTTGACTTCATCCGGATTTTATGGGTTAAACCTAAAAATTAAGGTGCACGTGGCGTTGTTATACCAGAGGTTGCCAAATACTGCTAGGCAGTTTTTAAGGCGGGTTCTAGTTTCCAGCCAATATACCCTTAAACTAAATTCACATTCATATGCACTGGTTATAAATCGGATTCACTAAGGTGTTAAACATACCTTCTCAAGCTATGTTTTCCTATTCTTCCTTATTAACTTTCCACACCTAACAAATTGAAAGTTAACAATTCCAAACTCATTAAGCAAAAGAATCCTACAATGATTTCATTGATTTTTGAATCTATCTCTAGCATCCAATACTACAATGGTGATTACCCAAGAAGCTTAACATGATTCATTTCTCAATCTCATCATGTTCATCAAATATAAGCATTAAAACTCAAAGCAAACACACAACCAAAGCATAATCATATGAAAATAAAACAAACAAACACTTAACCCAATAAAATCCGAATTTCCATCAAAACCCTAACCCAAAATGAGTTAGTTCATAGCTAAATCAACACTACAACTAAGAAAAACGATAATATTTAAGTTTAACATAATGAAAAGTAAGAGAAAGGACAAGAAATCTCCCCGAATGATGAATCATTTGGTTCAAAATCGAATCTTCAACCTTCTAATCTCTAAAAATGCTCCAACCTAATCAAAGAAAAATGTAAAAACTGTTAAACCTATTTTCTGGACGACCCCCTGACCAAAAGGCTAAGTGTTTCTTTTATACCTCGCCCAAAGTCCTCAGAAAAACATGCACAAAGTAAAGTTGTGTGTTTTACAAAACTGAAAATTACAACCGTCGCCGCGGCGTAGAAGAAACTTCACCGCGGCGAAGAACTAAACAGATCTGGTGTGTGTTTGGCTCACTTCACCGCGGCGAAGAGTATTTCTTCGCCGCGGCGAAACTTCTTGAAAAGTTCTGAATTTACAAAACTACCACTCTGCTTGCATCTTCACTTGATTCTTCGATCCTCGGTGCTCTCCCTCTGTAACAAGCCTCATAGTGCTTTATCCTGCTTCAGAACTCTCCCAACTCCTGAGATCCGCTTACTTTTGAGTCCAGAATTTCCAGTTTTGTCCTTATTTGCTCAAAATATCCATTTTAACCTGAAACACAAAATGTGAAGAATTAAGTAACAATTCAGGTCAAAATGAACTAAAAAGTACCTGAAATCCGACTAAAAATTCTAATGAAAACTGTATAATCCATAGATTATCAACCACGGTGTAGGTGTATAACTTTTAGAAGTAAGAGCTTCGATGCGAGTAGGTGGTATTGAGATTGAATGCCCAAACAGAAGTGTGACCCCTGTTTATATAGTAGTCGTAGGATCTTCGTATCCTAGTAGGACTTTGAATCCATAATGGTAAAGGTTTAGTGAATATGAAAAGATCCTGATTTACTTGCCTCAATAGGATTAAGAGTCCTAATTCACCTAAAATACGGAATCTTGGGTGAATTAGGATAGAACCCAAATAAGAGAGGTCCTAATTATCTTGGACCAATGGGCTTGGCCCTAGGTGGGCCAATGGTGATGCCCAATCTAGAAAGATGCTGGGTTTAGGCCGTGCGTTATGGCCCATGGCATGAATTATGATGTTGGCCCAATCGGAATTAGGCCACGGCCTTGGGCCTACATAGTAGAAAATATTTGCTTGGGCCTGATAAGACCCAAGACGATTTTTGGCCCATACAATACCTAATCTTCACGTAATGCCATATCTAGTATTGTCAGAAACTCCTCCAAGTATTGAACTAACACTCACTGTATTGTTCTACACATCATCATAAAAATTACAGTAAGAAAAATTTCAATCACTTTTTCTCTTTCCTTCTAGGTTCGTACCTCATTACCGGCGTCCTAACACCAAACATATATTTTGGTTACAAATGACAATTTTTTGGTTTCATTTAAATATATTGTTAGCTGAAAATTCATTTAATAATTTATAGTAACGATGATTTTCATAATTTCAAATGAAGTTCATGATGAATTTCAAATTTTACTAACAAATATTGAATTAAAATAAACTTACTGGCTGAGTAGGCACAGCTGCATATCAGCGGCCAAATTTTGTAGAGTTACAACCAATCTAAGCATATACTTGTTTTGTGCAACAAAAATCAAAGTAAATTATTACTATCTACCGTTATGCATATCACAGTTATGTATGTAGTAGAAGTAGAACTAGAACTAGAACCTAATTAGGAAAACAGATGATATGAAAACTGAGAGTGACATCATCTACGAGGTCGGAGAAGCACGTGATTTGCAAGTTACTATCGCTTTCGTTAGTATCAGCATTGTCCTGCTTCGATTGTTCATCAACTTTCATGGATTCAACGGAGCGAAGGACTTGATCCAAACCTGAAGCTTTATCTGCTATCGAAGAGAAACTAAAGCAAAGTGCTTGTCAAAACAAATCTAAACAAACTGGGTTTTTAAGGGGTTTTGCAAGCGTTGCGTTTTTTTGTTTTTTTTTTTCTTCAAGGCAATGCAACTTATCAAGTTCGTAAGCAATTTTTTTTTTTTTAATTTGTTTAATTTTAAAGGTAATTATCACGTAAGCCTATATAACTTCTTGTTTCTTCCAGATTCCTAGTTCTTCGAGACATGTCAGATGAGGCAATTTATCCACATCTTAAATAGTAGGCTAAACCTAACTCCTGGAAAAACTCTGTCTGTCTTTACAAAGAATATATTGCCTCAAACAGGTTAAAATTTAGTGTCATTTTGAATCTCAATGATGTTTCTTGTACTCAACTTCTGTTGCATACCAAGAATCTTCTAACGCTTCAAATTGTCATTTTTTATTTACAACCAGTCGCATGGATACCATCTCTGTTATGACATGTGATACCTTTCTGTAAACATAAAAATTTGATATAAAGGCTTTGTGATCTAAAGTTAGCGACCAGATGTGCTAGATAAGAAGGATGCAAGCTAAAGTAGATGTGTTCATAATCATGTGTCGCAATGAGCATGTGATCTAGAAGAAGCGACCAGAAGGTAATGCGATCTAGAAGCAATATAGGAAAGTGTCCAAGCGATCAAATGAGCTTGCCATCAGAAGCATTATGCATGCAGCTTGAAAGAGGTCGTTGATTTAGAGTCATCATCAATGTTTTCAGAGACAGTTAACTACCCGGAGGGATTCAACTGTTTCTTAGGGAGCGTTTGGTTGGGGGTAATATCACATTACTCGGGTTATGTCATCTTATATTACTTTGATTATCACATTTGGTTGTCAAGCAATATAAGATTCTCGTAATCTTCCAATACCAATAGTAGTTACTATTGGTAATATTAGAGGTAATCTGATTACCTCTATTTTCTTAGGTATTGTAAGATTACCGAGGTAATCTTATTTTTATTACAATTCTATCCCTTATTAATAAAAAATTTGGACAATAATGCCCTTATATTTAAAACAAATTACAGACCACCACGCCACTTAACCACCACTGCTGACAGGGGGCCAACCATTGCGGACTACCATTGGAAAGTCACCAAAAATGATTGAGAGTCGCTGGGAGGCTCCGATATGGTCGTTTCTGACCATATCGATAGCCAAAAACGGCCAGATCCCTAGCCATTATCGGGTAGATCTCACCCAGATCTGGTCGACAATGGCCAGGGAACGACCAGATCCATCCAGCCAGATCTAGTCTAACATGGCTATTTTCAGCCATCAATATGGCCGAAAACGGCCATATCGAAGCCTCTTAGTCACGATGGGCAGCGACTTCAGGCGACTTCCGGCAATGGTTTTTTGAAGGCAGCAGGGTGGTGGGGGTGATTTTGCTATTAAAGTTTTATATAAACGGGAATGTTTTAGCTAAATCTGAAATATTGGGAGTTAAAATACATTATTCAAAAATTAATAATAAAAATAATAATCTATTTATATTTAAAAAAAAGGATCGTTTAATAATTTAAATAATATATCCCCTAATATATTCTTTTTAACCAAACATATTAATATAACATGTTTACTCATTTATTTCAACTAATAAAATATATATTTTTTTAAATTCTTAATAATCTTTAAAATAATATAAGATTTCGATAATTTAAACATTCCATGTAATGATTTTGTGTAATATGATAACTTTGTAAATGGTAAAAATGTCAGGAGCCTAGGACAGCATTTAATGCTCCTCATAATAGGTCTGCCCATGACGTATGTAATGATGTAATTAGCATATAAATAACCGTTGTTTGAGATAATGAAATAGAGATAAGTTGTATAAGAAAAAGTGAGTTAAATTTAGACAAAACAAGAAAAATTCATCTCCCAAAACCAATTGTGCGTTCTTTCCTTTGCATTCTCCAATTTCCTGTGTATCTGCTACAGCAGCTGGAAAACATTTGGCTGAGAAACATCACGTTACCTGGTACATATGTAAATATGTGTTCCTGCAATTGTGTGTAATTGACTTCCAATGGTTCGGCACTGACTTTTCAAATGTAAAAGACAGCTTTCAATTATTGGTACCTTATGTAAATTTACAATCTTTGACCAGTAAAATAATGCCACATTTATTATACTTTCTCCCACAATTCATCTGGGAAATTTGAGAACTTAGACAAACTTATTACAAAGGACTAGCAATACCCCGGATGGTCACCTCTGCTTTAAAGAGGAAACAATCCTTCACTAGATATTTATATGCAGGCTCAAGACAGAATCTTACGGGAATAAAGTTTGCAGAACCACTTTCCCGACTTGAGGCACTGAACCAGTGATTCTCTGCAAGAGAAAGGAACATTATGAGCTTTCCTAGTTTTCACATATAGAACAGCAGCACAAATCTCGATTTTTTCGTCTTATAGACATGTTAAGATCGTCTTAGGGACATAGTCAGATCATGTAATAAATAAAATTGATCGATATAATCAAAGTTTTTGTTGTAATAAAGTTGCTGTGTAAGAATAAGTTTTACTTTTAACAGATAGGTCCCTGGCCCGGACTTGATCCTGGATGCGAAAAGTATAGTCGACATATATTCTAGAAGTAGGAGTAAGAGATGTTAAATCTGCCAAAACCAAGTACAGAGAAATATGACTTCCAGTTCCAGAGTCTCTTCCATTAGGATAGAGCTGCATCTTCCTGCAACAACCAATACAGATATAACATTTGGTAATTTTAATCTATTCACATTGAAGTCCAGTGGATAAGTGTTATGAGTAATACCAGTTGAAACCAGCAACAGTGAATTCTTTGGAGTCATAGTATTCACAGTCTAACTTAGAAAAGTTTTCGATCTTCCAAACATACGTGAAACTGCGAGGATCTTTGATCATTTTTAGACACTCTCCTCTGCCTGTGCTGCTTTCTTTACTAACAAACACTTGTACTCCAACCTTACACGTGTCATCCACCAGGAATCCTTTAGAATCATCGGTAAATACTTTAATTGGGATGAATTGATCAAAGCCCCATTCAGGTTTCAATCTACGGAACCGTCTTTGCTTTCCCTGCAAATCTACGCATTACAATTTACCAAATAATTAGTAAGAGTCGCATGCTTAATCTTGTATTAGATGCATGGATCACATATCAGAAGGTAAAATCAACAACAAAAAAGGTGAGACGTGGCTGAATTGTCCTATACACCTTGAACTATCGGGTGGTTGTTCAGGTTCTGATCAAGCAAAAAAAATCGAAAAACTGCAGAGACCTCCCAACCTGGAGGGAGTAAACTTGCATCTGCGATGGCTAAGTAGAGAGATATGTAGTCTGCCACATTCTTGCTTTTATTTCCATTTGGGTAGAGAACAAGTTTCCTGGAATCATTATCATGCACATAATTAACTAAAATAATGGAGTCTAAAAGTAAAGAACATGTGATGTGATTTGGTTTAGAGAAAGACATATACCATTTGTAGCCTCCAGCTTCAAATTCTGCAGATTCATATTTCTCTGCATTCTTAGAAAGTAATGAAAATAACTGTATTGTGACTGTATAATGATTTTGTTGTGTATCTGATACAGATCTTGTGATCCCTGCAATAATAACATAAATATGATAGAAGACTACTAATAATGTCGAATGCTTATGATCATTCAAAGGCTCATACATAAATACACAAAGAGGAAGGACATTTATACCATCCTTGTCACCAATGAGACTGCCCATCACAACAACATTATTTGCAGAAATTGAAGAGATACATCTCACAACAATCAGCTTTGAAATCTATTTATATTTAACAAAAGAAAGAATGCTAATATTCCAAACTTAAAAGTTTCTGCTTGAGGGTAAAATTAAAAATGTATGTTGTCTTTTACTTAAAAGGATTGCTTTTTCAACATTGAGCTAGCATCCATTATATTCTTGGTAATGTGAGCCTAAGTTAATAATATTAGACCATCTTTTTAGGTTTAATAAAAATTGCTGGTCATATTTGTTTATTATTAATAGACATCTATATGAATGAGAAAGCCAAACTAGTAATCATGATATAGTCCATCATAATAGCACATCAATACATGATATCAAATAATATAATCTGATATAGAAGGATAACATTAACCTAACATGTGTATTATATGTGTGTTTATATCAATGCTTTTCTGTGGTGTTTGAGTATCTTTGGGAAAGACAACGTGCTTCTTCTGATTTGAACTACAAGAACAATACAAGATTTTATTAAGGGTTAATTGATTAGCCTGCATATGAAAATAGTGCCACATTTTTTATGCTTTCTCCCACAATTCATTTGGGAAATTTTAGAACTTAGACAACTTATTAAAAAGTACAGACAATACCTTGGACGGCCACCTCTGCTTCCAAGAAGCAAACATCGTTCACTACCCAATCATTAGGCCGAAGAAAGAAACTCAAGGGAAAAAATCTTGCCCAACCACTTTCCCGGCTTGAGGCACTGAACCAGTGATTCTCTGCAAGAGAAAGGAACATTATTAGCTTTCCTAGTTTTCACATATAGAATAGCTGCGCAAATCTTGACTTTTTCGTCTTATAGACATGTTAAGATCATCTTATAGACATAGTAAGATCATATACTAAATAAAATTGATCGATATAATCAAAGTTTTTGTTGTAATAAGTTGCTGTGTAAGAATAAGTTCTACTTTTAAAAGATATGTGCCTGTTTTCCTCTTGATCCTGGATGCGCAGAGTATAGTCTACATATACTTTAGAAGCAGGAGTAAGAGATGTTAAATCTGCCAAAACCAAGTACAGAGAAATACATCCAGCTCCTCTGTCTCTTCCTTTAGGATAGAGCTGCATCTTCCTGCAACAACCAATACAGAGATAACATTAACTAACTTTAATCTATTCACATTGAAGTCCAACGGAAAAGTGTTATGAGTGATACCATTTGAAACCAGCAGCAGTGAATTCTTTGGAGTCATAATATTCAGATGCTAACATAGAAAAGTTTTCAATCTTCCAAACATGCTTAAAACTGCCAGGATCTTTGATCATTTCTAGACACTCTCCTTTGCCTCTGCTTCTTTCCTTACTAACAAAAACTTCTGCTCCAAGCTCACACGTGTCATCCACCAGGTATCCATAAGAAGCATCGCTAAATACTTTAGTTGGGATGAATCGATCAAAACCCCGTTCAGGTTTCAATCTATGGAACCGTCTTTGCTTTCCCTGGGGCTCTAGGCATTACAATTTACCAAATAATTAGTAAGAGTCACAGGCTTAATTGAAGGTGTTGAAGATATAATGAAATTAGAGACCAAAAATCTTGGATTAGATGCATGGATCACTTTATCTACATGTGCCCTCAATAAGAGTTTATCTACACGTCATAAAAATAACAAGAAAAAAGGGAGGTGGCTAAATTGCATACCCCTTGAACTATCAAGTAGTTGTCCTGGTTCTGATCACAAAAACAATCGAAAAACTGCGGACCTCCCAACCAGGAGGGAGAGAAGTTGCATCTGCCATGGCTAAGTAGAGAGAATGTGGTCTTCCACATTCTTGCTTTTATTTCCACTTGGGTGGAGAACAAGTTTCCGGCAATCATTATCATGGACACAATTAACCAAATAATGGATTCTAAAATAAAGAACGTGCGATGTTATGTGATTGGTTTATGGAAAGAACTATACCATTTGTAGCCTCCAGCTTCAAATTTTGCAGATTTATATTTCTCTGCGTTTTTGGAAGTAATGAAATACTGTATTATGACTTGATATGAGTTGGTGTGTATCGATACAAATCTTATAATCCTCGCAATAATACAAAAACATGATAGGAGACTACTAATAGTGTTGAATGCTTATGATCATTCAAAGGCACATATATACACAAAAGAAAACATTTATACATCCTTTTCACCAATGAGACTGCCCATCACAACAAATTATTTGCATAAATTGAAGAATACATGTCACAGCAATCACCTTTGAACTCTATTTATATTTAACCAAGAAAGAAAGCTATATTCCTAACTTAAGGTAAAATTAAAATGTATGTTGTCTTTTACTTCAAAGGATTGATTTTTCAACATTGAGAAAACATCCATTCTATTCTTTGTAATGTGAACCAAGTTAAAAATATTAACCATATACCTTTCCCTGCACATTATTCAACTTGACACCTTTGGGTTTAATAACAATTGCTTGTCATATTTTTTCATTATCACTACAGAAAAAAATTATATAGTATATGCACACAAGACCAAACTAGTTATCTAATATAGTCCATTATAATGGCACACTAATATAAACATCAAAATATAATCTTATATAGAAGATAACATTAATCTAACATGGTGTTTAAATTTTATGACGGAAGAACATGTGATTAATGACAATTGTATATGTTTACACAAAAGTAAAATAAAAAAAGTTATATTGATAAAGGGGGCATCAAACAACCCTCAACTTTTCTAAAACCCTAACCCTTGTTCAGCTCGTGTGACTCTGATATCATAAAAATGGTTTGGGTAGAACTTACCCCCGAAAGCTAGTTCAAGGAAAGAAAAAGGAGTTCAATCACATACATACGAACGAACTTAACACTATTGGACAAATCCAACTTCTAATAATATAAAGACTCAAATATATTTTTCTGAGGGAAAGGTAACTTGTTTCTTCTTTTGAAAAGTGTAGCCCTTTATCTTATTTTTATCGACTACAAGAACAATCACATATTACAATGTTAATTGACAGCTTGCATTGAGATTTGTTTGTTTTGCTTTTCTACATGATATGAAAGGGTCTCCAAAAAAGACGAACAAGATTGGAATAATCCCCACCACCCTAACTTATACATGTCAAACGTGGCAATTTATACACATTTGAACAAGTCAGTTACATTTTACGTAAATATGTGATATGTAAATATGTTTTGGTAATGAAGGTAATGCACTTCAAAATGTGTATGGCCCAGACACAGTATTCTCAAATGTAAAATACACGGTTTTTATTGATAACTCAGTAAATTTACAGCCTTCACAAGTTCAATATAGTGTCACATTTATTTTTAAGGGGAAATTGTGAACTGAGCCGACTTGTTACAGTGCACTGGAAATTCCGAGGACAGTCACCTCTGCTTCCACCAAGCAAGCATCTTTCACTAGACAACCAGCGCTTGGCAGATTTAAGTAAGTGAGTGCATGAATCTTGGCCAACCATATTGCTGCGTGAGGGCACTGAACCAGTATTTAGCTGTAAGAAACGGGAAATATGAGCTTATATGATTTGGTTATAGCATAATGGCTGAAATAACTTCCTGCCGTACAGCCTTTCGAGAAACCTTAGTTATCGGGTTGAAGGACAGAATATGATAACTTTACCTTTACCACCCATGTGCTTGGCCTGCACTTGATCCAGGATTCGCAACGGAATTCTGCGTATATTTTAGAACCGGAACAAGAGTAGTAAATCGGCCAGAGCCAAGTACAGAGAACATGGGTGCCAGTTCCAAGGCGTCTTCCCTTTGGATAGAGTTGTATCTTCCTGCAACACAACAAGACAAACAAATTACCAAAAATCTGATGAAGATTTACCAAAAGCTATTCACAAGAATGTATGTTCGAAATAATCATGAGTACGTCATTTCAAAAATGAAAACATGACACTTTTCAAGGTAATCCAACAGTCCTTGAATTTTGATACCATTTGTGATCTCCAGCAATGAAAACTTTTGATTCATAACATTCTTCATTTAACTTCGAAAAACCTTCGCTTCCCAGACATGCTTACAAGTAGGTGCATCTTTGATCATTGATAAGCACTCTCCTTTGCCTGTGATTGTTTCTTTACAAACAAAGACCTCTGCTCCAAACACACACGAGTCCTCCACAAGGTACCCATTAGAAGCATCATTAAATACTGTAAGCGGTATATATTGATCACAGCCCCATTCAAGCTTCAATCCATGAAAGCGTCTTTCCCTTCCCAGAGCATCTAGCCAAGAAAATTGACCAAATAATTAGTAAGAAGCACATGATTTGCTTGTGGAACGCTAAAAATTGACAATTCTTCTCACAAATTGTGTAAAACAACATACAAAAGTCATAAAATAAAATTAAGTGGAAAAAGGATGTAAGGTCTATTTGCTATGTCCCAATTTATAAAATAAACTAACCTTGAACTATCAAGTACTTGTCCTTTTTCTGATCAAGCAAAAACAATCGGACAACTGCATAGACCTCCCAACCACGACAGAGAGCACTTGCATCTGCTATCACTAAGCACAGAGAAATATGCTCTTTTACATTCTTGCTTTTATTACCGCTTGGGTAGAGAACCAGTTTCCTGCAAGTGTAGGCACAATAGGTTAATGGAGTTTGAAAATAAGGAGACAATATCAGTAATGCAAAGGCTATGTCCCCGCCGAAGATGGTTGTGGACATACTACACCAAAATCAATCAATATGTTCATACACAAGGTACATTTATTTTCAGGTATGAAATAAAAAATTATTTACAACATTAAAACAATTTTATTAAATTTTGTCAAACTGATGATCTGCTAAGACTTATATTTAGACATTAAAAGAAAATATCTTTAAAATTTATGCATTTAGACCTATTTAAATTTCAGTTAAATTCAGATATTTAAACTTCAAACAACATAACAAATGCCACCTCACTAAACATATGCTTTGGTTTATGGGAAAGAAAATATACCATTTGTAGCCTCCGGCTTCAAATTCCCCAGATTCATATTTCTCCACTGCATTCTTCAAAAGTAATGAAAATGATTGCATTTTGACAGTGTAATGAGTTGGTGGTGCATCTGATGAATATCTTATGATCCCTGCAATTATGATGTTAATGAAAATATATTCTTAACAAGAAGAAGAACCTGAGCTAAGAGCTGAAATTGTTTAATTCATATCATAGCAGCTAATTGCACAAAAACACACACATAAAGGGAGAGAAGAGCATACCATCCTTATCATCAAATATTCTGTCCATGGCAATTTGTTGAATTGTAGAGATACAGGTTACACCAATCAGCTTCATAGTCTTTTATAAGGAACATAATATTCCAAACTTAAAAGTGTTGTGAAGGTAAAACTTTATCCTTTGCTTAAGAGGATTACCTTTTCAACATTTAATAAGTATCAAATCTATTCTTGGAGGTGTCAACAAAATTACAAATATTAATGTTCAGTGAGTATAGCATGTGCTTTACCCTTGCAAAATTATTAACTTATAAAAGCAAAGTATAAAACCTACGCCAATGATTGCAGTGATAAATGCAGTCCAATCAAAGGCAAACCATAAGAAAGTTTGGATGATGTTTTGGGTTCCTGATCGCTGTATCAGACAAAAAGTTGGCATTATGTGTTGGGTTACTGAAGAATACAGATTCAGACCTGAAACTGGGCCCTTATAATCATCAACTTGTCTCATTGATTCAAAGAGCAGCTTTGCACTATCAGTTCCACAAGAGATGTTACATAATAGATTACATATGTCCCAACAGAAATCACATCAGTCATAAACAGGAAAAAGCAGTAAGATCAATGCACATAAAATTCATAGGACCAATTCTTTACAAACTGCACAAGGGAAACTTAAAATTTTCTTCGTAACAGTAACGTTTCTTGTGTCACAAGACAGGGCTCCTAATAGAGGAAAAAGCTAGAGCTAATGAAGATTCAATTATAACACCTCCAAATCACTGAATATCAACTATTGAGGAAAACAAAACAAATTACTATCAGTAAATCAGTATACAGGTATTGAACCCCCTTTAATAATTCCTTGGTTTCAAAAGAAGCCTACATTATAATGGCACTTTCAACCAACAAAAAAAAAGTGTTGCCCCTCTTTGCTATGAAGATTTTGGCCTTGTATACCCCAAACTTATCAGCTTCTCAACCAACTTCTTCTCCGCATTTACCTAAAAACCCAATAAATATATTTATATATAAACATATCAGCAACAAGCTCTAAACACACACAACAACAAAAAGAAGTGAATCGCACATAACATAGTCAATAGCCAAAACACAAACACGTGAGAGAGAACCAAACCTCAAGCATAGGACTATTCTTAGGTATATTGCAAGCCAAAATCACATTGAGACCGGTCTTAATCACTGCCACAAACATTTATATCAGCCAACACAGAAACCTTCACAGCTATAAAACATGTAATCCAACACATAAACACAATATATACCTAATCTTCGAGCAATGCCAGATCCAGTATTGTCAGAAACTCCTCCAAGTATTGAACTAACACTCACTGTATTGTTCTGTGTATCATCATAAACAATTACAATAAGAAAAAGCTCATTTACTTTTTCTCTTTCCTTCTAGGATCATACTACATTACCGGCGTCCTAACACCAAACGGATATTTTCGTTACACATGGCAATGTTTTGGTTTCATTTAAATAAATTGTTAGCTGAAAATTCATTCAATGATTCTATAATAATGATGATTTTCATAATTTCAAGTGAAGTTCATGATGAATTTCAAAATTTACTAATAAATATTGAATTACAATAAACTTACAGGCCGAGTAGGCGCGGCTGCATATAAGCGGCCAAATTTTGCAGAGTTACAACCAATCCAAGCATATATCTGTTTTGTTCAACAAAAATCAAAGTGAATTATTACTCTCTACGGTTATGCATATTACAGTTATGTATGTAGAAAAAGTAGTAGAACTAAAACCTGATTAGGAAAACGGATGATCTGGAAATGGAGAGTGACATCATCGACGAGGTCGGAGAAGCACGTGATTTGCAAGTTGCTGTCGCTACTATTAGTATCAGCGTTGTCCTGCTTCGATTGTTCATCAACTTTCATGGATTCGACGCTGCGAAGGACTTGATCCAAACCTGAAGCTTCATCCGCCATTGAAGAGAAACTCAAGCGAAGCTGCTTGTCAAAACAAGTATAAACAAACTGGGATATTAGAGTGTTTTGCAAAGCGGTGCGTTTTGTCTTTTTTCAAGGCAACACAACTTTATCGAGTTCGTAACTTGTGAGCAATTTTTTTTTTTTTAATTTGTTTTATTTTAAAGTGCCTCTCTTAATGTGGGATAATTTAGAAAGTAATGCATGACTTCGGATTTTTCCATGTTTTTATTTATATATTGGTTTAATTTTTATTTTTTTTAACTTAATTTAAATTAGGAGATTGAAAATATTGCCTTCTAGAGCTGAAGGGTTATTCCAAAAAAAAAAAAAAAAAAAAAGAACTAACTAATACAACCATAAGGGCTATTTGGCCTAGAAACAATGGCAGAAGCTTATATTTGTGCGAAATTATGATAATCAATTTATATGGAGATAATCAATCAATGTCGCAATGAGTTTATCTTGGTTAAAGCTCTTCTCTTATCCTACACACACCTTCTAACAACATCTAAAAAAGATTAGTGTCATTAATTTAGCAAAAAAGCCGCAAGTTTTCGTATTCTAAGGATCCACATATTGTGCAATAGAAGAACGTACTGATATGCAGCTTTTTAAAACAATAGGGGACTCTCGGATTTTTGGTGTTTTCAGAGAACTGTCGCAAATCAAATCGACCCTCAGATTTTTCAATTTTTTTTTTTAAATTACTGTTACAGATTCTCCATAATTTTTAAATGAAAGAAATTTCATTCCCTTTTGCACATTTGCACTATGCTTCGGCTATCAAAAAAGGTGAGTTGATATTACATTTTTTTCTCTTACAATCTTGTTGATGCGAGGAAGATGCATAAAATAATTTTGTCTAAGAATCATACACTGAGCCTATTTGTACATTCTTATTTACGTCCATTTCTCTCCACCTTTAACTAAACAATAGTATGTGCTCGAAATAAAATTTGATCCCTCTTGAGTCTTGTCCTCTCCATTTATCTTCCATGTTCCTGCTTAAAGTTTGACCAATCAAGGCATTTCTAACAACAGATTCTTAGATAACCATCTTCTGTTCCGACAAGAAACAATCGCGAGAAGGGTAGAATACTTATGCTCGACAACACAGACAAGTTTTTCGTTCCATGATCTGCCATATAGAGTTTGTGCGGTAAAATTCGATACTCCCTATCCTGATATAAAAGAGTTTTCACACAGTTACATATGAAAAGATCGAAGTATAGGAAACCCAAAAAGTAATAGAAATATATGTCAAGATTAGATAGTTTATTGCAAATACAACAAGATAAGGACATGAATATAACATTTTGATGCAGATTATGTGCTCAATGCAGGGATGGAAAGAACTCAATAATAATGCTGGATACGTACTTCATCGGCAGATTTAGATAAAGAGGAAAGTCCAATCTTATTTTTGGAAATTGAAATAACATCCTGGCCCCATGCAGAGAAACCAGATATTCCATCTGTATGTCCTTTAAAAACAATGGGTTGTGATGGCCAATTCCTGCAGGAAGTATAGAACAATTGAAGGAATCAGAAGGGAAACCATGTAATCTAAAACAAGAGTTCCACAAATCTCTTCCTGTGAGGAAAGTATTATTTGGGCATGAACCAGAAAATAGTTGAGAAAAATTTTCTGGTATAATAAACCTAAACCAAAGATAGGAAACGCCTAAGCCTAAAATGGCATATGAACATGAAAAAGAAAGCCCACAAAGTAAGATTCAGATATGAAAACATTGCACGATACAAGAGGGATTCCCTAGTCTATATACCAAAATCATTTAAGATGAATTCAGACAATAACACTTAATAATGTTTCTTTCATGTCCTCTCTCAATTTTACACCATCACAGTTACACAAAGATTGATATAAAGACAAATGAAAGAATTACTAGTGATGGCTAAGGGAACACCAAAAAAAAAAAAAAAAAAAAAAGGTTGACTTTAGAAGAAAAGGCATAAATAGCAAGAATTGTGACCATGATACAAAACTAGATGGAGCTAATTGACAAAAAATTGTGTATCTAATCCCTAACAATTGTCATTAAAAATCTGTTGAGTTGCATGTGCTTAAAATGTAAAACAAATCAATTTGTGAAGCAATTGGAACTGTGGAACGTCTCAAAGCTTAAATCATAGATACATGTCAATCATGAATAAGAATTCATAGAAGTTCAAATCTCCAGAAAAGAAGTTTGTATTACCTTCTCAAGTCCCAAATCCGCAAAGTCTTGTCGAGGGAGCTAGAAACAAGCAAATGGTCCTTGGGTGCAGCCAACTACACACACAAAAGGCTAATGAAGCCCCATTTTAAATTAAAAAAGGTTTTTCTTGCAAATTATACATACCTTTGTCACATATCCATCATGAGCCTTCCAAGAGGCAATAACATTTCCACTCCTAACATCAAATAACCTACATTGGCCAGAACTCAATCCTGCTGCAATCCACGATGATGAAGTAATGGCTCCACCAGCTTGCATTGTGCCAGACCCACATGAGCAAATTGCAGAGACGAGAGAAGGAAAACCTGATTCAGTAGATTCACCCCTCCATAAATGAAGCTTTTGGCCTTGGGCAATATCAATAAATCTGTTTCATAAGAAAAGGAAACAAAAAATGAATTCCATAAGAATCAAGACTTTCTTATATCCACATTGACTTCATGTAATATCTCAATCACAGGAAACTTTAACCTGAGAGAACCATTTCCAGTGCCAACTACAAGCCTTTCAACAGATTCTAAATGATGCAAACAAGTGTATAAGCTCCCATCGAATGTACTAGTCAATATTCCACTTGATAAAGTATTGGAATTCAGCATATTGGCCTGATCAGCATTAATCTTTGAAACAGGAGATAACGGACTTCCAAGATGAGCAGAATCCATGGATGGTTCAGCAAATACTGATAAAAGCTTCCCCGTTTGGCTATTCCAAACATGTACAGTTCCATCACAAGATGCTATCCTTCCACTGGATGATAAGACACAAATGTCGTTTACAACCTAAAAGTTACACAAGCAATTAGAGGAATACATACACCCCAAAGCCCAAAGACAATATCCAAAATTGTAGCAAAATTACGTCTTAGCAATACTATTCTGAAGAAAAATAGACATACCCACTACGCTTAGACATTTCATGAAAAACTATCTTTACATAATGTAAGGAATAGAATACTATGGAACTGAAACCATACAAACCATAACAATAAAGAGTAAATATATATATTGTACCATTTCAAGTATTCCTAAAAAAAATCACATTCAAGCCCTCTACTCACTTACACAGAAATAGATTTAGAAAGAAAAAAGCCAGCACTCGGTTTTGTCATGAGAAATTCAAAGGGAGCTGCAATACCCATAACTTAGCAACCTTCCCCTCGAGGCGTGAACCTCTCCCCACATACAACATGGTCAAATTCAACTTACACTGTTTCTCCTTTGAAATAGGACAAGTACAAAAAATTAAGCAACTTATAATCATGCCACAAAGCAAAATGCTAATTTTTTGCTTTTCCAAGGCACAATTTTACATAGACATCGTTAACAATATTATTCATCTTTTTCTTTTCTTTTCTGGACAAAATATTAACAATTTATGTGTGCACTTTATGTACGTACAATTGCCAAGACTAGCAAAGCGGAATTCAAACTGCACACGGAATAATAATAGGAAATACTGACCTCCTCATGACCATAATAGCCCAATACGCAATTAATTCTTGTCAGTTCCCACTTTTGAACAGTTCCTTTGAATCCTGGACCAATGCCTGCAGTGAAAACTGTACACTCATCTCGGCAAACAGCTAAAGATCTTAAGGCTCCATGATGTGCACGGACTGAGGATATAACAGATGCCCTGATCTTCCATGTAAATTCATCTTTCAAACTCCCTACACGCCCAACAAAGTCTGGCCCATCCCAACTAGCAACTGGATTAGGGAACCAAAACCAGGGTTCAAGTTTCATTAGGTTAGAGGTCACTTCATGCCTTTGAACTGATCTCTGATGAACATCATAAACCCATCTTTGAGGCATCAAGTTTTTGGCACTTCTACTTCCTTGGGATTGTGGGATTGACCACCCAACCCCATTAAGCAAAAGTTTGGCTGGATTATACTCAGAGCTTGAGCCACTACTCATTAAAGGCCTTTTAGAAGCTATAGTCTCTGAACCAATTCGAGATGATTCTCCTGCATTTTCCCACTAAATCATAACAAATTCAGAAATATGAGATGCAAAAACATAAAAGCATGCTAGTGTAAATGAAATGAATATTCAATGCAACAACCCAGACTAATCTTGCAAAAGGAGAAGTCCATGTACCTTCCAATTATGACACCGTAGAAGAAACTGCTCAAGAAGTAACCATGTGGCACAACACTGCCGAAGTTTTTCAATCCCAAGAAGAGATGCAAAAGAAGGATAAAGAAGCAACCTGCAAACTTACAAGCAAAATCAATATATACTAAAAGCTTACAATAATAAGTGATAACTTCCAGTCAAGAGATGGAGGTATTATTGCCAGGCCAAATTTGGATTCTAAGCAAATGGCATGAAATTTGTCCAGCACTCACACAAGATCCATCCGGCTTTCAATTTGAGACTCCCCATCAACTTTTGTTTTGGGAATCTTCAAGCTTCTTCCAAGAGAACCAGAACTATTGGCAGTTTCCTGTGAGAAAGCAAGCTCATCAAATAGTTCCTTTAGTCGTGGAAGAACATGCAATGCCGTCAGCTCTGGTCCAATCCGCTGACAAATTGTCATGAGACTAGTAGCAGCAACCTTGACAACAAAGGGTATAATACATTAGTTTGAACTTTACAATCGCTTTGTTCCCATGGGAAATGCACAAAATAACATTTTTATCACAGGACTGATATGGAAGTGGTTATAGAACACAATAAACAGAAAATTGAATCAGTTTTTACAGAAAGGTTCATAAGTCAATTATTTATGCCAATATTAGGGTAGTTGCATAAGCTGCATGGAAGCTGCACAAAAGATATATGATTCATGTGGTTTCATGTTGACAGCAGTGTGTTTGATGCATTGTTAGAGACAAATAAGCCCACTTCCATCAGGTAAGTCTGAGATAAGTGACTGAAACACTTCATACTGCCATGCAATGTGAGATGCCTTTTCGTTCTTTTTGGTATAATGTAATTGTTCCAAAATAAAAAACTAAACTAAGGATTTTGTTCCAAGTAACAATCCATTAGTGATGTGTTTGCAGTGGCATTTCAATGCCATGAAGAGAAAAACCCCACATTATAGCAGAACAAGGAAATAAACAAAAACAGAAGTGTAGAAAACCTGAAGCACCGTAATTTCCAAACTTGTATGCAGAAGAACTGTAACATACAGGCAGCTTTGATCCTGCATAATAATACAGGATAAACTTTTTAATCTTAAACATCATCAACAGTTGTTAACTTAAAGTAAAATAAGATGGAACAAAAATTAAAAATTAAAAATACCTCAATAAGCTCCTTTACAACAACCTCTCTTGGCAAGAAGGCAACTAGACCATCTAGTGTCATCAGACAATCGATAAGGGATAAAGTTCCCCAGCTCTGTATTGGCTCAGACTTATTTGTGTATGAAACATTAATAAAGGAACGAGCAACATGTTTTAGCAGTGGTAGCATTTGTCTGACAATAAAAATCTCCCCCAAAAGGCCACCTGTAAAGTCAAAACATAGGAGTGGCTCAGAAGAAGAACAGGAAAATTCCACAAAAGACATCATTCACACATCAAATGAACTGAAAATACCAATTCTAACCAGCACATCAATTCCATCAGGACAGATTCCTCTCCCAAAGCATTGAATTAGAGGAAGGATTGTCTGCATTGAACCTCAAAAATCAGTACATTATAAACATAAAAAGAAATTCCATGTGTATACATATGCACAGCTGTGCGTTCTGTTTAACCTGATGAACTGTTATCGGTACACCGAGCTCTTCACTAGAGCCAATAAGCAGCACAGAAGCAGCAGAAGCCGAGATTTTATGAGGAGCAAAATACAAATTTGATATGACCAGAGGATGTATTGTTTCCAGATATGCTTGCTTACCAACCCTATTCCATATCTCTCGCACAAATGAGTCTTGAAGAAGAGAAACCTTCAAATGTGAATAACCTGTTGTCTGAAACCAGTGACTTGATGAGTAGGCATTCAGAACAAAAGTCCCATAAAGATGAGAATGTTAAAAAATAAAGTTCATGACTTGCCTGTAAAATTTTCTGGATAGCAGGTAAAATCATTGTCTCCACAGCTTTTAGTGTCAAGCATTTTATGAACTCTTTCAGCAGTATGTAAGCCCATTCAGCTTCAGTATCCGATAGAGGAGTCACTACAAGAGGTAAACAGTAGGGAACACACATTTCAGCTGCAAATGATCCCATTGCTTTCAAGGCTCCTTGTTTTGCAAAATTTGCAGCATAACAAAGCCGAGATCCATCTTTTGCTATGAGCTGAAGTGGGGCAATAAACAAGTAGGATGACTTGACTGTTGTGGGAAAATGTGGAGATTCCAGAAGACTTTTGGCAGATGGTCTCCTAATAAATTTGTGTAAAGAGAAATAATATAACATTCTGACATGTACTTTAATGATAAACTCATACCAGAAAAAGATAAACATGCAGATGAAGCAAAGAAGAAATAAAAGAAAAACCTTGAAGCCTAATTCTAAATATATAGTATCATGAAAATAAATAAACATGTACCTTGTCCAGTCTTTTTCAATACATGCTTCAACAAGTATTTTTGTTTGAGGAGGAAGTTCCTGCAACACACCAGGAAAGACACCACTTTCCAAGTATATTGTCAATGAAGTTGAATCAAAAAGTGGCCTTTGCAAATGAAGTTCTGCCAAGAGACAACCAATTGAAAATATATCCTTCGCAATATCTTCAGATAAAGTCCTTGAATGAGATGACTTCTCCCTCCAAAGAAGTAACTCCTGATATTCCATGGAAGCTGCGTCTTCAGCTTCAATATGCTCAAGAAGATAATCCAAATTGATATCAGATGGCACCACATGTTGATTGCCAACGCCAAATGAACTGGAAAAACTTCCTCTGACACTGTCACGTGAAAAACCTTTTTCTGGGGAGATGTGCATTGCAGAGTCATCTTGATGGTAATAATACAGAGGACTCAAATGTCGAGCATGTTCAGAAAAAGCAGATGCGTCTTCTAATTCTTGTAAATTGGCAACTTGAAAGAGAGCAGAATTTTCATTATCCACTTTATTAACTTGGCACCTGGATCTAGCTGTTTCACCGTTACTAGACAGTTTCTTCCAGGTTGTGGTTTGACGTACAGGGTGTGGTAGAGTGAAAAGCTGACGGCGTCCAACTGACTTTGGCTTTGTTGGCTCAGATGAAGGCAGCATAACGTTCTTGGCAGCAACAGCTGCCTGCCCTGACATTTTGTACCCAAAGGTGATATCTATCCAATTATGAATTTGGCTTGAGACCCGATGGCTTTCTAAAGCTTCTCGATGCAATTTTATAAATTCCTTAGGACTACCAACCCATGAAGGTACAGCCAAATCAGTCATACCAGAGTGTACAGAATAAAAAATTTGGGGATCACAGAAAAATTCTGGGATGCACTCATCAGGAGTCCACTGGTAAAGTCTTTGCATAGTAGAAGGATACTCATTCGGTTCATAAACAGAACGCACAGCTGTACGCAAAACACTCAAAGGTAGCCTCCTGGCTTTATAACTGCATACAGCCAGTTCCGAAAGGCACTCATCTGATACATGATGTGGAATTTCAGAAGTTGAATAGGTGAAGTCCAACTGCTCATCTCCTTTTGCTAACCTCCATTTGCTTTTGCTTAAATCCCGCCATCCTGAGTCAGAATTCTCCTCAGGTTTCATGCTAAAATCTATTACCCATGGCATTACGGTATGAAATGTGTAGTCCCCCCACCTTCTTCCAGCTAATTTATTTAAGAATAGTAGATACTCAAAATTACTCAACTCTCCTCTCCACCATCGGTCAAACTGAGTGTGCCAGTCCATAGGTGGCGAAAGCTTCAAATCAGCATAAAGTCCTTGAGAAGAACAACCCTCAATGCAGCAACCCATAATTGAGGAAGTGGAAGTTGTGCATCTGCCCTCTCTTGAACTTAAATTGAATCCAAACAAAGGCTTATTATAAACACACAGCCAAGACCAGCAGGATTCAGTCAACATTACATAGGATGGACATATATTGCCATGGGCAACACCTAAACCATGCAAATAAGCTATGGCAGACAGCAACTGATACATTAAAAACCTTATATGCCACTCAGATTTTAAAGCACTGGGGCTAAAATGAAGAATATTTTCCAAGGTATATGGAGTTTTTGGAAGCACTAAATTAATATGACCAGATGTTTTAATCAACCCAATCACCGGAGATATGTTTGGATGCCTCAGGCAACCAGGGATGCTACTCTCATCAAATGATGGTATACCAATTAGATTTAAGAAATTTACACTATCTCGCCCTGAAGCTTTCCCTTCAATGAGGAGACTGAGAGAGCACAACACATGATCCTCAAGATTCCCAGACAAGAAGTCAAAAGTAAACTCTTCCAAGGCAGAGTAAGAACAAATACCAACCTGAGCAACTGGAAACAATGCAGTGATTGTTCTTAAGCAAGAGAATCTCCTAGAATGGTTACAAATCAAAGTTCCATATCCTACCCCATCCATGGAAAAATTTCCACCCCCATCGGACAAATTATGAGTTCTACCCGATAACAAATTCTGTGAAGTGGTTAGGTCATCATCAACACCTCGATTTTCCAAAACATATTCATCACTACAAAAGCAAAGACAAAACTCTAATAGTCAGATATCATTTTTTATATAACATAACATCTGAGTCTTGCAGCAATTGTATACAATTCTAAAACTTAGTAACATGAATTATCAATGCTTTAGAAAAATCTTAATTTGTTTTTTCTAATCAAAACAATTAGTGAAGCTAATTATGAAGATTAAAATAATCTTACACGTATTTGGTGAGACAATCTCCTTGATGGCTGGGGATATACACCAGAATGAACTGAGAAGCGGAAGAAGGCTCACCACTAGAATTCGCCATCTGGAGGAATCATAAAGTAATAAAATTAAAAGCGATGAATTGTAGATTGAATAATAGAAAGAGAAGAAAGACATTTAAAACCTGAACAACGGCAGAGAAGGCGAAGGGGAGAGGAGAATGAGAGAAGCCATAAGAAAAAATCAGTTGATCAGAAAAATCCGATTTTATTCGACGATGAAGGCACTCCAAACAGAGTTGTTTTCTTTCTTCTTCTTCCATCTTCATTGATTCAATTTCCCTCCATTTTCAACTCTGTAAGTTAAGGGGAATTGAGATTGTTGTGGTAGGTGACAGCGGTACTACTATTGGTTCCGAGAAGGGTAGATTTGTAAAACTTTATCTTTTATTGTATTTTTTTTTTAATAATACTACAAATATAATATTTTTATACAACATTTCATATACAATATTACGTGGTATATAACATTTCTCATATAACATTATGTAATTAGATATAATTAAATAAAAATTTAATTTTAACTTTAAATTAGTCAATTATATATTATTATAAAAAATTAGATAAAAATTTAATTTTAATTTTAAATTAGTCAAACATATATCGTCAATTAATATGTTATAAAAAATATCACGTAAAAATGGGGTATCGTGTTATGCTACTTTTTTTTTTTTCTTTTTTTTTTAATAATTGTTATATCGCTAAATTTTACTTTACGTCATTATGTTATACCGCCTTATTAAGACTTTGCCCGGCCCGGTGTAAAAACCCGGGCCTTCCCATTGAAAAAAAAACAAATAAAAATAAATCTAAAATGTGGGTTTTGGTTTTAACGCAAGTTGACAGTGAAGAACTACAAACGATCAAGGGTTTTCTCAGGTTCCTGATTTCTATTTGAAGATCTTTAAGCTTCTCTGATCTGTCTTGTATGTATTCTTTTCTTTTTAAAATTGCATGTTCACAGCCTGATCCGATTTATTTAATTACGTTTTAATTTGTGTAGATTTTGATTGGGGTTATGGATGCGGAAGTGGCAGATATTAAGAAATGGGTTGTGATATATCCTGTTTACTTAAACTCGAAGAAAACAATAGCCGAAGGGCGGCGAATTAGCGTGAGCAAAGCATGTGAAAACCCTAATTGTGTTGAGATTGGTGATTGCTGTAACCATTTGAAAATCCCCTATGCAATTGAGGTTTGTTAATTAATTGATTCCCATTCAATTCCCTTTATTTGATTGGATCTTTTATTGATTTTAGTGTTTTTATTATTGAAGATTGATAAGGCGTATCCTCGGGATTTCATGCAAAGAGGGAGAGTGAGGGTGAAACTGAGGAGGGAAGATGGGACTTTCTACAATCCAGCTATTTCTTCTAGTAAGTATAGTTTTCTGTATTTTGGTTGCTATTTTTTCTGCTCGTCTTTTGGATCAATGATTTTCTCATATCCTATTTGAATAGAAATACTTATGAATGATTAGTGAAGGCGTGAATGTGTTTTTGGACTTAATTGGTTACTAGCATAAAATTGTAGTTTCAAAATATTTTGTTAAATTAGTTGCTAATAATGAGCTTATTTTTTCTCCCCTTCCAGTGTTTTGATTTTGTACTGTTTCTCTTTAGTGCCTTGCATCAGCAGGCTGTTAAATAATTGATTCCCCAAATCATAGATTTGATGAATCTTTTTCCTGTGGGTGTCAATGTTTTATTGAGGACCACTTTTAGCATACTGGCTGCATTTAATGGAATACCGGGTGCATTTTTATAAATCTATCAACTTTCCATCAACTCGAGTAAGCCAGTTGTTGGTAAATACGACTAAGGAGTTGTGAAGGTAATGGTAGTGTCTAAACTTAGAAGTTGGCTCAAGAAAGTGATTAATAACATCTAGATTGGGGGAGCTGATGGTGTTGAAAGTATGGAGGTCTCAGTAAAATGAAATAAAATAAAAGCATATTTGTATATATGTACATTGATGAATAGAGAGATGGAGATTGGACAGTCCATCATTTTTCGTTGTTTTACAGCTTCGCCTTCTAGGGAGGGAATCTGCATTAGTAATTTTGTTACGGCACAGTTATAAGCCTGCTCTTTCCCATTTCTGTCATTGAATTTCAATAAGCCATCATGTTGTGACATTCAGCAGCTGGGTTTCTGCAACTCTCAATTGTAGTTTCTCCTGGAAAAAGTTTTGCTGGAGTTCTTTAGCTCTTTTTACAAAAATTTAAACTGACATTGTGATAATTTTCCATCTGTCCCACATTTTAGATGTGGAAGTGCTTATTTATATGATTACTAGATCCAGAAACTTCATCACATAGGCCGGGTATTACCACTGGTTAAAATCTCAATATAATTACTCTCAAGAGCACTTTCGTTGCTTTCTTTTTATTGTTTCATTTGATGCAATCATTGCCTCTTTCCATAAATACTAAACAATGTAACTCTATAAAAGACCTGATTTTAGTAGTTATTTTAGGATTATATTCAGAATATAGAGATTTGAGTTTTATTTTTTACTTGTATAAGTTAGATTTTAGTTTTCTTAATTAGGTTCTTATTATCTCCCCTTTTTTCCTTCCTCTTTCTTATTTACATTTTTCTTGTCTTGCATCACCCGAACTCTTCTACTCTTTCTTTGTGCTCATAGATTATGAACTCACACTCCTTGAACAAATAATTTTAAGGCATTGTTAACTTTTAGCAGTGGAAGCTTTGAAAGAAGTTGCTTCTTGGCAGAATATTTAGATGCATAATCTTCAAAATTGTTTTTCTCAGTGCAACAAGTGATTTGGAAATTAATAGATTATTCTTGTTTTTCAGCAGAATAATGAGGAGGATATGTCTTAATCCTCATTGCCCTTGAATTCCCTTGCTTGCCATTATTTTTATCATTAAATTGAAAAATCACTCAATATTTCAACGAGATAACATGTTTGTTAATATAGTATTGCTGGACTAACCGGACAACATGAATTGTTTATATTAGGTTGTTGCTGTTGACTGCTGCTTAGGAGACCTTCCAATTCAGTTATATGATGATCCATTATTTTATCTTTAATTTGACGGAACTAGTTTTTAGCATTTACATCACTCTTTCTACCAGATAGAACTATACAGAACAGTCTTGTAGAACTACAAGCTGAGTCATAGGGATGCATCTGAATGACAATGCATTTCTTCCTTTATAAATAAAGAGAAAAATTCTTTGCTGAATTTGTTGGAGCGACTTATACATTTGGACTGAACTTATACATTTGGACTGAACGAAAGTTATCTTTATTCATGGATGTGTATCTTTTAGGCTGAACATCAACATATTACAAGAAAATAGCTCATGCTACTTGTCTTTTAGCCTCAGCAAACTCATTTGACTTTGATGTGACTATATTGCAGGAAAACAGCTGATGCTTCATGTTGCAGAGTTGGTACCTAGACATCCCGGTAGAACTAAGAAGCAGGAGCCAGCATCCACGTCGTCAACTGCTGGACCTTCCAAATCTGGAAAAGGTGGAAAAAAGAAGCGATAACTTCCAACATATTGAATATATCAAAATGTTTCCTTTTTGATATCCAGTTCTGGCCAGCATTGGCTTTCTTAAGATGTTACATGTTTGGTTGTGTTACCTTAGTCGTGTTTTTGAAATACAAGATAGACAATATGTTTTTTGTTTGGAATTTTTCATTATCTTTTTACATCTTCCTTGCCATGCGATTAAGAATACAACTAAGTGTTCAGGCTATCACAAAGTAAACAATACAATTAAGTGGAGGAAGCACCTTACAAAAAGCTGAAAAAACTATTGAAGAATATATATGATAATAAGAAAATGATTAGGTAAAAGTTTATTTTTAATTTAAAATCAGAATCTTTTGTTGTATTTTATTGTACGAAAAATATTGTATAAAAATGTTGCTTGTAACTTTGAATGATATCATGGTAATTAGCTAATAAGAATTTACAAAATGAGGATCGGAGGAAACTATTTATAAGTTCTGGGGGTTTAGAAAAAATTCTTAAATTGGGTGATGAAATTGAAAATATATTTTTCACTAAGAATAAAGTACAACTAAAACATAAGAGAAAGTTCTGTTTACAGTTTTACATCATGTTAACCAAAAACATTTCATACGAAATGACCATTATATTTTATTGTACGAGAAATATTGTATAAAAATGTTGTTTGTAACTTTGTATGATATCATGGTAATTAGCTAATAAGAATTGACAAAATGAGGATCGAAGTAAACTATTTATAAGTTGTGGGGTGCTAGAAAATATTCTTAAATTGGGTGATGAAATTGAAAATATATTTTTCACTAAGAATAAAGTACAACTAAAACATAAGAGAAAGTTTTGTTTACAATTTTACATCATGTTAACCAAAAACATTTCATACGAAATGACCACAATACCCATCTATTACGATATCCAGATGACACGAGTTCGGTGCCGGTGCGGGTTGTTATTTCCCAAAATAGATAAGAAACTTCGAGAAAATTTAGCTGCCCGGCCATCCCAAGTTTCGATTTAAGAAAATGGCCTTGAAAATGTTTTTCATTTTTTTTTAATTTAGAGAATATGACGTGGCATAGTTAGGATTAATTAAACACGTAAAATTGGTTAAAATGAAAAGATTAAAACATATGTGGGCCGAATCATAAATAATGAAAGTTTTTAAATTTTGAAATTTCTCAAAACAAGCCCCACCTATTCACCTCGCTTAATCGAAATTCATTAGGGCAAAAAGCGATTTCTTGAACCAAAGGGAGACTGTGATTTTTTCCGATCGAACCTGCACAAATTTGCACCCTAAAATCAATTTCTTGAACCCTAAACCAAATACGGTCGCGATTTTCGGCGATATAGTGGCGATTTCCGATCGATTTCTTGAACCCTAAAATCGATTTCTTGAACCCTAAATGGAATCTTTGCGATTTTCGGCGATATAGTCCACATTTCCGATCGAAACTGCAAACTTTGACACCAAATTCAATCCAAAACCGTGGCTAACACTCACAATGAGGAGGAAAACCCAACGCCACTTCGAATCCTAGATTCTGGTGGCACAAGCAGTTCAATGGCTGCTCCGGTGGATCATCCGATCAGTGAAAGTGGTCCACAAGTAGAAGAGACCCCGGCGGCACAAGAACAGAGGGAAGAATCGGCAAACGGTTCTGAAGACGAGGAGTCAGGCGAGAATTTAGGCCAGGAGGAGGATTCCGGCGAGAATTCAGGCCAAAAGGAGTCGTCCGAGGATTCAGGCGACAACGAGGAGGCCAGCGAAGAAAGGGTACGTTGTTTTGGGAATATTGCTTGTACTGTCGCTTAAGCGACATTTGTACCGCTTAAGCGATTAATCTGTTTTACTCATGATCGCACTCATGATCGCTTAAGCGATTGATTCAGTTTACTCTTGGTCGCTTAAGCGATTTCAGATAGCTTAAGCGATCTTGTCGAGGCAGAATCACAGATATAAGATCGCTTAAGCGATCTTTTGTATCGCTTAAGAGATTCTTTCAGTTTACTCTTGGTCTCTTAAGCGATTTCAGATCGCTTAAGCGATCTTGCACCAGGCAGAGTCAAGATCTCTTAAGCGATCCGAAATCACTTAAGCGACTACAGTGGTAATTTTTTGTTGCTGATATTTTGTTTATTAGTTGTTTTGGTTTATTTTTGTTGCTGACATTTTGTTTATATCGATTGTGCAGATCGTAAACTGCAGAGACTACGAGTTGGAGCTTATAAGTGAGAAGGTACCCTACTTCCCTGCAAGGGTGACGGTGAGGTCGAGTTGGGATATTTTTGACAGAATAAGGGACATTTTAGCTGGAATGAGGCATGGTGCAAGAGATTTCTGTCGCACTTGTTTCGGTCAGTTTTTAAGAATCGGAACAAATTGGAAAAAGGCATTTTAGGGGCAGGGAGTGCATTACATGTTGCTGCACTCAGTAAAATGCAATAAAAAAAAAAAAATGTGGTTTGTGGTGGACGGAAAGCCACTACGGTTTGGGATGATGGAGTATACCTTGGTGACGGGCTTAGGATGAGGGGAAGTGCCAGATAAAGCAGAGGCAGAGGCAATAAGGACTAGTCCGGGAGCCATAAGGTTTCGTAAGAAGGTTTTGCAGGGGGCAAAGTCTATTACAGGACACGTTTTAGAGGAGAGGCTAGAAACAGTTCGGTTTAATAATGGAGAGAAGATAAAAGTGTGCTTGTTATTGTTTTTCCATTCTATCTTATTGGTTGGTGACTCAACAAAAGCTGTTGAGAATGATTGGTTGTTGTTTGCTAGCGACTTGGAATTCTTTAATTCTTATCCGTGGGGATAGATATCATTTGAGCAAACCATCAACAGCTTGAAAAAACCAAACATGGCGTTAAAGCAGGCCCAATGGGTCAGGAAGGATAAACCAAGCACGTATAATTTGTTTGGCTTCCTATGGGCAATGCAGGTAAATATTAATAGCTTTCTGTTATATTTTTTATAATATATATGTTTGAATTATGATATGGACTGTTTTTTTACAATGTAGGCTTGGATGTATAAGGTCATCCCTATCTTCGCTCAGGTTAGGGGGAGGAGCAACAGTTTGGATGTGCAACAGCAATTTCCTAGGATGTTGCGGTGGCATGTCGAGAGGTGTACCCATTGAGACTACGACCAAATAGACATTAAGATTGAAGCGGCTAGGGTAAGATTAAAGGATTAAGCTTTTGAATATGCAGTTGCTTTAAAATGTCGCTTCAATCTGATTGATTTTGTTTCTTATTGCAGGGAGTCGTCCGTCCCTTTCTCACCGCCACTGGGGATGAAGCGGAAGAGGACTATGTCACATCTTTCAAAGCACTGGATGATGAAAGGGATGAACAGATAAACCGCCTGATGCGGGACCTAAAAAGGGTCACGCATGTGACGGCAATTGTAGGGCCACTGCTTGACAACGTGGTTGATGCCGAGGATTATGAAGCTCCAATGGGCTGGAGGCCCGAGGATGAGGAGAAGAAGAGGGAGAAAGAGGTTCGTATACCTCAGCAAACCGATACAACAAGTACCGCTTTGCCGAGAGATCGACGTCGGGAGAATGAGGTGGTTGACCTCATAAACGGCCTACTTGAGAGTTTTACAACAGCCGTTTATGACAGGTTTGACAAGATAGAAGAGTGCATGAAAAGGGTGGAGGAGAAAGTGGATAAGTTGGCAGAGAAAGTTGGTACAGCGGAGGAGGAAGATGGTATAATGGAGGAGGAAGTTAGTACAATAGAGGAGGAAGTTGGTGGAGAATTAAAGGTGGCTAAAGTGCATACTGGGCTGAAAAGAATGAGCCGAAAGAGTAAGTTTGTGAAATCGCCTTACATGGTAGTGACACAGGTAAAGAAGAAGAAAATTAAGAAACAAATTGAGGAAGAACCAGAAATGGAGGAGGTTGAGGAGGTTGGTGGAGGAGGTGGGGCAGTGATAATGGAGGAGGGCGAGGTGGGAGGCGAAGAAAGCGGGGATGTAAAAATGGAGGAAGGGCGAGGAAGTGGGCAAGAGAAAATGGACTCAAATGTCGATTTGTATAGGCCAATAGAGGAAAAGAAAAAACTCTTTTATGCCTATTACAATGGATCAGGAAGTAATGCCTATATAAAGTGTAAGACAGGAGATTATCCCCGGGAATAGTTTGAGAAGTTGTTGATGATGGGCACGTGGCTTGAGGACTCAGTGAGTTATTTTCGCTTAATTTTCCTTATTTTTGCCTATGTTTTCCATACTTATCTTGTTATTTTTATTTGATGCAGCACATCGATGAGATATTAGCACTGATGAGGCTATGACAGACTACTGATTGTGATCTATTGTATCCTTACTATGCCATCACCGATGTGGCGTTTGGCCAAATGCTTGTTTCGGCATATCGCACTTTAATTAAAAATGTTGTTGCTAGTGGTGCAGCAAAAGGACTGAAGCGAAAAAGATTGGCCCCACAACAGTTGGATTGCATCCTTGATGATTTTCATTTTGATGACAGGATTATGCAGTATATACGGGGGGATCGGCCCAAATATGGCCATGGTTGGGCCTTTGTTAAAAGAGTATACTGCATCATCCTCGTCAAACAGATGCATTGGATAGCAGTCGTCGCGCATCTAGAAGAGGGGTTGCTGAAGATCCTTGACTGCAGCCCAACTATTTGTCGAGACAAGCAGTTGGAGGTCAAGTTGGAGCCACTGTCCAGGTTGTTCCGACAGCTGTTGCGTGACAGCAGGATGTTTGGGCACTTCGGTGATCAAGTACTAACCGGAAAGTGGCCAATTAAGCGCTCTACCGGCCCAATAAATGAGTCAAGGTAAATTTTGTATAAAACTAACTTACATAATACAATTGTTCTATAAGTTTATTCTAATACTAATGTCTTCCTCCTATTGTAGTGCTGAATGTGGGGCATATGCCCTGAAATTTATTGAGTTCAACATGACCAACACCCCGATGGACGACTTGAATGATGAAACAATGAGAGACTGTTGGGAGGGCTGGGCTATCGACTACTTCCATGGGCAAATGGATCCGTTTTGAGTGAGCAGAACCCAATCAAAAGGTATGAAAGTTGGACTTTGAATTTTGTAGTTTATGTTATGTTGATGTTGATACTTGGGTTGTGGTGCTGATGCTACAGGTGTCATGCTTATATAGAGTTTTACCGAAAGACACGG